TTTAGGGTTTTAAGGTTTAGGATTTTAGGTTTTAGGCTTTTCGGGTCTGGGGCAGAGCATGTCTCCTTTGGAGCTCCTTGAAACTTCGCAGACCACAAGAATTGCAGAACAATGTTTCATAAACCCCTCTCTTCAGGCACCGGTTTAGGGTTCAGGCTTTAGGGTTTACAGCAGGTGCCAAGCTTGTCCACAAAGACTGAGCCAAGAGGCAAGAACCACGAGCTGGATGCGCGAACTGCCCAAACCTTAAACACAAATCCTAAATCCCTGAACCCCACATACCTTGGCCCTAAATCCCTGAACTCCAAAACTGTAAGCCCTAAAGCATCAATCCCAAATACCTGGACAAAACCCTGCACCCTAAATACCCAAGTCCTAAACCCCAAACCCTAAAACTCTCAACCCTGCATTTAAAGACCCCCGTTTCTCAAAGAGCTGCCAGTGAAAGGGCCTCAGTCCGGGCATTTGGGACGTTCCTGTCGGCGCGGGGGAGATCGGCAGGCTCCGCCGACTCCGTCTGGGGCGCATAGTCGTCCGATCCAGGAAGTTCCTTTCTAGGTCAGGATTGCTTTAGGCCTCTATTCTTGGGAGAAAGTCGGGTTTAGGGTTTAGGGTTTAGGCGGGGGGGGATCGTAATCTTTCGGGCTCTTGGGTGCTTGAAGCCTTCGCCTCTGCACTGTCAAACCGTCCTGGAATGTGGGGATTTCGGGCCAAGGATCCTCCTCCACCCATTGGGTCCTCTTGGTACCTTTTATTGGGTGGTGTCTTTTTTCTCACGGGCGCTCTGTGCGTTTCTTGGGAAGCCCATGAAGCTCCCAATCCGCGCATCTGAGTCGGTGCGTTTGAGGTTTAGGTTCAGGGTTTAGGTGTTTGGGGTTTTGGGGTTTTTGAATTGAGTTCCTTGCCCAGTGAGCATAATACTCCTTCTTTAAGAAGGAATATGCCTTACCGAACGTCAAGCAGCCCTGCGTGTTTTGGTGGACATAACCCGGAAAATAAGGAGTATCGGGCTCCTTAAACCCCTGCTTTTGACCCATGACTCTTCAGAATAATTTTTAAAGTAATATAGAGGTTTCGAGAGTGACCCTCTGGCCTCTACAAGGAATGGGGTTGCTTCTCGGGAAGGCTGTTGGAAGGCACCCCTACCTATCAGAAGAACGAATCATATTGAAGCCGAAATCTCTACACCCTAATTCCTAAACCCTAATCCCTGATCCCTAAACCCTAAACCCTAAAACCCTAAACATCTTCAAGAACGTCCCAGCTTCGGGGTGCACTGCATCCACCTCCAAAGGCGGAGAACCCGTCGTTGTGGTGCAGCAGCCCTCTTTGGTGGCCTTACAGCTCGCGACGGCGCCCATTAAAGCAGAAACCGACAGACCTAAACCCTAAGCCCTTTAGCCAGAACCCTGAGAACCCAAACTCTAATCTAAAAACCTATACTATGCGGAAGCTTTCTTCAAGCTTGAGCCAGCAATGTCGGGACGTGCATGACCAAGGCGGGGGGGGAGGGGGACAAGTTTTCGGCTCGGGTCTACTGATGCACTTTCCTTGAATCGTGCTGCACATCTGCTGTCAACAAGTGGGGGGCCCTAAACCCTAAACCCAAAAACCTAAACCAGTTTAGTTTGGGGCATCAGTGAAGAGCTCCGCACCCGGGAAGAACCCTAAACCCTAAACCTAGGCCCCTAACCCAACATTATGCCTGGATGAACCGAACTACTCTCAAACCCTAGCTAAACCCCAAACCCCTAAACCCTGAACCCTAAGCACCAAACCCTACATCCCTAAACCCCTAAACCCTAACGGTCAAAACAGAGGTTTGGGTGCAACTACTCAAATCCAGACAGACCCCCGGGTCGACATAGTTGTTGCCAAAAGGTCGACAGGCCTTACGTCAGGGTTGCTTAAACCTCGATAAACCCTAAACCCTAAACCTGAAGCCCCAAAGCCCTGAGCCCTAAAAACCCTAAACCCCTAAACTTCCAAGCCCTGAAACGCTAAAGTTTCTAGTTCAGCTCTGCACTCTATGTCGAAACTCCTGAAAGACCTACACCCCCTACACCCGGTTTAGGGGTTTAGGGTTTAGGGTTTTAGGGTTTAGGGCCGCCTTAAACCTAACCCCCCCACAACCTAAACCTTGCACAACGACTTGCAGCTTCATTGCTTATGGATCTGGGTTTTCAGGCTTCGCAGCCCTAGGGTGTGGAGTGGCCCCCGAGCATCCTTACAACTTTTGTCGTCAAGTGGATACCCAACATGACTTTTGAACATCTTCTAAAGACACAGGGCTCTTTAGGCTATATAGTGGGGGGTTAAAGGGTGCGGCTTAGGCTAGGAAAGCCCAAAGTATCTGACAGGTTCGGTCTTAAAGCCTCTCCCCCTAAACCTCAAACTGCACACCCTAAACCCTAAACCTCAAGCGTTGAGGGTTTGCGGTTTAAGGTAGATCCTGAATATCCGGATTCCAAACTCGTGGCCCCGGTTGGCGCAGCTAAGCTACGCGGGAACCCGTGATCCCAAAGCTTTGAAGGACACCAACCCAAAAAAGGCATTGGAACGGCTAAGATCATGCAGGGGCCTTATCATTAGAAGATTTCCGGCATATTCGAGTAAGACTATAGGGAGATGTTGTTTGTTAACCCTAGACCTCAGTCAGACCTCAGGGGTTCAATTTTCGGGTTTCAGATCCTCTAAAGGGTTGGGAATCACGATCACAAGGTGCTGACTTTCTTTGCGATGCAAAGAAGGCTTTAGCAGCTCTAGGGTGGAAAGTATGCACTTGAGGGTCCTCGAGGTTTAGGGTTTAAGGCTTAGGATCTTGGGTTTAGGGTTAACTTGTGGCAGGGCTAGATCTACCTGCAAGCCCTAAATCCTAAGCCCAAGTCCTACAGCCTACACCCGGAAGACAAAGGCTCGCCTACTCGAGAATGCTGCTCTGAAACTGAAGATGCTGACAGATACTGCTTGCGGGCTCAAGGTTTAGTAGCGGCTTTGGGCTTGAGGGGCGTGGGGTTCTGCTTAGGGCTTCCACTCAGCCCTCTGCAGCTCTACATGGCTGTTCATGGTTGATTGAAGTGCCTCACAATCCTCAAAAAGCCGCAAATGCAAGGACCGAGGACACCGGAATCAACCTAGACCCCAGCAGCATTTCGTTTGTTTTGGCTCCTCTGCGCCCGCCACTTGTTGTGGATGTCAGTTGCAGGAAGTGGTAATTCTATCCCGCACTGACAAGAAGCGCTAATCCCGTTGATTTTCAGACCAAGGATTGCTTTCTCGCACCCCCAAAATTTTACACCCGACATGCTGGAAACGACAACCCCCTAACCCTGTGCTGGCACGCTGGCTGCAGCAAGTCTTTTGCTTCAACCTGTCGCCTCTTGGCACACCATGGGTTTTTGAGGGTTTGGCTTGGGATTGGGTGTGTGTATAGCAAGGGCTGGTGCAACAGGGTGCTGGATTCGGCTTTGGCTTTGGCCTGTTGAAATATTTATCGCTTCTTCAGCAATTGCATGGCGGGGTATTGCAGCAGGCGTAAATGTGTGTTCAAGCATGGGTCTGTCTGTCCGTCCGTCCGTCTGTCTGTCTCTATGTGCGGCTGTGTGTATATATATATATATATGTATGTATGTATGTATGAACGTATACCTACGTACATATACATATACGTATCTACGGACATACACACATACATGTATCTACACACATCCATATACACATACTCGTCCACATGTATGGGTATGTATGTATATATATATACATATGCGCGTATATGGTATTATTTTTACAAAGAAACAAATATGTATATATATATATATATACACATACATACATGTATACGTACATCGTACTCATATACATCATGTACATGCACATCATATCCATACACATCATGTACACATACATATACATATACACAAACATATACTTACACCTATGCATCTGTATCTAGAACTACATCTACTTATGCATATGCATGTCGATACACTTTCATATATACCCGATGCATGCTTGTGCACACACACACACACCTGCCCACCTGCCTGCCCACCTGCCTACCCACATCCACCTAGCCACATCCCACCTACCCACCTATCTACGTACCTACCTGCCTACCTACCTACCTACCTACCTACCTACCTACCTACCTGCTTACCTACGTAGTATAGATGCATAGATACATACATACATACATACATACATACATACATATACATACATAAACATCAACATGTACATAAGCACAAACATAAACATCTACATATATGTCTAGGTGCGCCAAGTTTCCGATCGCCTCCGTGTTCCCGGAGGACCTCTACGCCTACGTCTATATCTACATCTGCATCTACGCCCAAAACATGCGACAACAAATGCTGGCACAACCGCTTGGGATTTACGGCTTGCGGCTTGAAAGTTTAGCGGCTTTCTGCGAAACCGTGCTTCCGACGACATGTGAGCAATTGCCCATTAACCCGTTGACTGTGCGACCTGCTTCCGTCAAGGACTCAGGTGGCTTCTCTTGAAGTTCATGGTTCATTCTAAGTAAGGGGTTTAGTTATAGTTGTAGGTGCCATCTTTGGCACGTGATGTGGCTACGGTGCAGCCGTTACTTATGCTTCTTTATTGCACCCCTAAACCCCAAACTTGTGTTTTGATGGTTAGGGTTGCTAGTGGGCAAAGCACCCCATGGTGTGAACCGTCGAAAACGGCGTCAATTTTCCTAGGTCCCGCATTGTCCCTGCAATGGTTTAGGGCAGGGTCAGGTTCGGGTTTGGGAATTCCAAAACCCTAACCACTGTGTGATTGAGGACAACTCCTGAAACAGGTTTCCATATGTACTCGGGACCTAGTCTCGCTGCCCTGGACTGGCCTGTTGGCTTTTAGAACGCATCAAGCTCTTCAGGGAGTAACTTCGAAGATGGCTCTGTCGGTTTGAAACACTCGCCGGGTGCGCTACTGCAGACACCACGGCGGGTGTCGGGCTGCATTCGGGGGTTTGAGCTTGGAGCTAGTGCGACTTCAGGGATGTGGAAATCATGTGCCAACAACCACGAGACTGTGAACTATCTTGTTGCCACGGAAGGTTTGCTATAATGTCCTTTGTCGCTCAGGACTGTAATTCATGACGGCTTTCGTGCCCAAACTTGATGTTAGCTGCGGGCACCTTTTCAAAGTGGGCCTAGATCAAAATTCCTTCCAAATGGCTACCTTAACAGAAGGCCGCTTGTAGCCGCCTGAATTCCACCAACCTCGTGCTGCTGTGTTGATGGCCAGCACTGCCCTGATATGCTTTAATGGTGAAATGATCTCCGAAACCCTCAAACCCCAAACTCAAAACTTACCAGAGCACACTGTAATTGCAGCAACAACCTGGGTGCCTAACCCAATAGCTGCTAATTAACGTTAGTTTGTGTATGTACGTATGTAGTTGTCTGCAACCTACACGTAGCTAAAGAAATATGTATGTATGTATGCATGTATGTATGTATGTACTTATGTATGTTTGTCTGTGCACGTGCATGCCTGCATATGCCTGTATACACCAAAGCCAAACGCAATCGTAATTCCTTTATGGCTTGCAATATGCTCTTTCACTTCGTTGTTCTTTCTTGCTCATGCTCTTTCCAAACCCTACCTAAACCTGTAGCGCAATACCGGACCAAATGGCAGCCTACGAAAACCTGTGTCCACCTAAACCCCTAAACACTAAACCTCACCCGCAGGCTAGTCCAGAAGCAGTGAGCGCAGCTCTCTTCCACGGACGGTCCGCGGAGGTGACGGCGTCGATTTGCTGAGCAGAGATTTAGGGTCAAGAGCTTATAGTTTCTGAACAGTGGGATCCCGTGTTTGGGTTAAAGAAAGCTTTCTGCCCAGACCTCCCGGAAGATTTGAAATGAAGATTTCTAATTTGGGACCCTTTATTACTAAAGGATACTTTCTAGGCGCCCTTTTTCGGGATCTGTTTCTTCTAAGATAGTATGCAGACCGGGGTCCGTTATTTTCTGAGACTCCCGGATGCTTCGGATGTCAGAGGCCGTTCTGGGGTTAGGGCTTCGCGTTTGACGGCTTGCAGATGCTTTCCGGGAGTTAAAGTTTGGAATCGCTTAGAGATAGGAGTGGTTCGTAACAAGAACCAACTGTTCTGCATTGAAGCTCCTACATTAACAATGCGATCGTGAAGTTTGAGGAGTTCTGTGAAGGAGGGTTTCCAGTTACGGCGCGTCCAGACGCAAATTTTATAAAGAAGTCAAAGGCCGATCCCAACAAATGCCCAAACCTGGCGGATCGGTCTCAATTTCCTACCTCAACCATAGCTTGGAGGTTCATGGATTGTTATCAGTGGTGGGCTTTGGGTCCTTTA